TTAACCTTCAAGAAAAATCTGGCTATAACGTCCTAAAATACAAAGATCGAACCAGAAAGAATTTCACAGATTCAGGAGGTAAGAATTTAATCCCACGAGTACGAACCAGTTATGATCCTACGAGTACGAACCAGTTATAATCCTACGAGTACGAACCAGCTATAAACAGTAATGAGTACTAACTTGTAGGCTTCCAGAGATTTGTAGGCCTATCTTTCTCCTTGCCTGTAAACACCAGGCGCTTGGATAAAGTACAGATAAATGTCGCCAACAGAAATATCAGGTCATCCTGTGGCGCGGCGGTCTGATTGACCAACCAATCGGTAAAGCATAAGGATTGGGTAAGCTTTCTGTACCCTCGGAATACCGCAGCTCTTCGTTATATCTGGTTTTCGCCGCCGATTCGAGAGATTTATAATGCGCCGACATTGTTCTCACAGCTGACTATTGTTGTTTTTTGCCCAGCAGCGAAATGCGCATGCGTGTATGTAAAGTTTTTGTTTTGTTGACCGACCTTATATACATATACATACACACACACACACACACACACACACACACACACACACACACACACACACACACACACACACACACACACACACACACACACACATATATATATATATATATATACATAATTTCTCCTGTGTGTGCATGATTAAGGAAAAGGATCTTCCCACAGACTTCTCGCCCGGCGTCCGCGGTGGCTGCCAGACCCTAACTCAGGAAATATCGTAACAGTCGAGGAACTCAGCGTAAGTCAGCGCCCATTTACAGTCCTTTTGTCCAATTATCTGCGGCTAATGAGTCCCCGCCTTCCTCCTCCTCCTCCGAGATGCTTAACGTCTTATCTCTTGTCCTTCCAGGCGGATAACGTTCTCCTGGTCTGCGATGAGGGATACACCGTTCCCTGTTACGAGACCCGCGTCGTCAAGGCCACCTGCGAAGGGAATCAGTGGCTCTACGACCCGGACGGACGCGCGTGCTGGTGTCAGTGGCCACATGTATATATGTACACACACACACACACACACACACACACACACACACACACACATATATATATATATATATATATATATATATATATATATATATATATATATATATATATATATATATGTATGTGTGTGTGTGTGTGTGTGTGTGTGTGTGTGAGAGAGAGAGAGAGAGAGAGAGAAAGAGAGAGAGAGAGAGAGAGAGAGAGAGAGAGAGAGAGAGAATTTAGATAGATGAATAAATAGTTAGATAGGTAGGTAGACAGACAGATACATAGATAGATAAACATGCATAAATTGATAGATACATACTTACATACACAGGCAGAGATAGATAGATTGACAGATAGATATATGAATAGGGAGACAGATAGATATGTAGATAGATATAAAGGTAGACAGACATAAATATAGATAAATAGATAGATGTAGATAGATCAGTAGATAGGTAGATGTATGTGTGAATGCGTAGTATGTTTGAATAGGGAATGTGTACAATAAATAGCTCGATATAGATAGATGCGTCTGCGTATGTTTGGAATGTGTATGTAAGTATATGCATGCGTATCTAGGGTATTACATGAGCATTTCTTTGTTTATAAAACATTTCACGCCTCTCTCTCTCTCTCTTTCTTCTCTCTCTCTCTCTCTCTCTCTTTCTTTCTCTCTTCTCTCTCTCTCTCTCTCTCTCTCTCTCTCTCTCTCTCTCTCTCTCTCTCTCTCTCTCTCTCTCTCTCTCTCTCTCTCTCTCTCTCTCTCTCTCTCTCTCTCTCTCTCTCTCTCTCTCTCTCTCTCTCTCTCTCTCTCTCTCTCTCTCTCTCTTCTCTCTCTCTCTCTCTCTCTCTCTCTCTCTCTCTCTCTCTCTCTCTCTCTCTCTCTCTCTCTCTCTCTCTCTCAGTATCTGAGAATCTCGGTCGAATCTCTCCCAACAGTGGAGGGATGCTACCCGTGTCCCGCCGTTCCCGCCAACGCCAAGCTGACGAAATCCTCCAATGCCCAGAGGATCTTCGACTGTCCAGGCGGTTCCTTCTTTCCTTCGGGATCCACTCGGCTGACGGCGGATTGCATCGACGGAAACTGGACGCTGTCGGAGCCATACGGCGATTGCGTGACAGGCGAAAGACCCTCGACTATGACGTCATCGGGAGCAGGGGAAGTGGCGGCGTCATCCTCGAGAACGGACGTGTCTGTGACGTCATCGGGAGCAGGGGAAGTGGCGGCGTCATCCTCAAAAACGGACGTGTCTGTGACGTCATCAGGGACAAATAGGACACTGGGAGGGGCCGTCACCGTCGAAGGAAAGAATTCATCACAAAATGGTAAGTGAATTTTCATTCTGTTGCTCATTGATAAGAAATACATTCATATCGTAGGAATTATAACGATTCTTTGTATAGAAAATAAATTAGATATATATTGCAGATATCATTGACCAATATATCTTTTTAAATGTCTCTTTCTCATTCTAAGATTTATGTTTTACATGTATGTATATCTTT